GGGGGGGGGGTCCTCTCCCCCCACCCTAGAGCCTCTCACAGTCCATCACCTTTCCTGTCTCCCAGCCTTGCTGGTGGCTAGCATTGAGCGACAGTCCTCTCCTGTTACCTTGAACCTGAACTGGCCTCTCTGCAGAGTGGCGGCTTATTGATTATTTATGGCCAAGCTTCTGTTTCTGTCTGGCAAGTGTGGAGGAGGGTTAGGGAGTTTGTCTCTTTCCTCTTTCTCCTCCCCCTCAGGGGAGAGGGAGGCCGTGCTCCCACCTTCTGCCCTTACACACATCTGTAAATAGTACCTGTTGTACCACTTGTTGCCCCACCCCCTGCACCCCCTCCACACACACACACGCACGCCCTGCACAGGGACCAGAGGCAGTTTAGTCAAAGTGACCCCACTATTGTTTGAGCAAAGAGGAGGGAGATTCCTGGGTGAATCTCCGGCGGCCTCCATGGATGGCTGGAAGCCCCCAGGTGGGTCCCAGGGTCTGGTTCTGTGGCCCATGGCTGAGGGAGAAAAGGCAAGAGACTGAGGCCCGGACTGGCCAGTCATCTCAAGGTGACCGAGGCAGGTGGAGCAGAACCAGGGTTCCCATAGTGACAACCCAGGAGATGCTGCCAAGCTGGGCAACCCTCTGCCCACCACAGGCTGCACCCGTTAGATATGGTGGTACAGAGGCACGTCCACCCCTTCCATAGACACTGACGCCCACCAGTGCCGGCTCTTCCAGGAATTGCTCTGGGCACTGGGGAGGCTGCGTGGGACAAAACAGGAAGCTTCTGCCTATTGGGGGTCAGAGCAGGGGTGAGCGAGAGACAGACAAATTAGGTGGTCAGATGGCAGAGTGTTGGGGAGAAAAAGACAGCAGGGCAGGGGTTAAAATTTTAACCTGTGGTGATGGAGGGGGCTCCCTCCTCCCACCTTCTCCACCCCCCACCCCCCCCCACCCCCGCAAGGAGGAGACATTTAGGAAAGAACATTCCAGAGCCCTAAGAAATGCTCAGGGAATGGCCAGGAATTCAGTGTGGCTGGAGCTGGGAGGAGGGGAGACGGGGAGGGAGGGGCTGGGGTCTGGAGGTGCGCAGATGGTGCAGGGCTTTGGGGAGGGGCTTTAGGCTGGCTTTCCATTGCCACGTCCTCCCCTGCCCCCCAGGCCACAGGGGGGACAGGCTGTAGGGGCAGGAGCTGGGGGTCAGGGAGGCTGTGGCAGCTGTCGGACAAGGGCCACGGCGCTGGGGGAAGTGGCTGGATTCTGGGTGTGATTTTAGCAGTAGAGCCAGCTGGGTCGGCCATCAGGGCTGTGCCCAGGGTGGCCTCATGACTGTCAAAGGCGTTCATCTCTGGAGAAGACAGCTAGAGGCCCAGCAAAGCCCCCAGGTCAGAGTCTGGTGGAGCTGTCCAGTGAGGTCAGGCCTCTTGCCCTCCTTCTCTTCCCGCCAGGACCCGAATGGGGATCAAGACCTGCGAAGCCGCCAGGATGGAGGATGCAACAGACACTGTGCGAGGCCTCGTCATCGAGCTCTCCAACCTGAAGTAAGGGCTGGGCTCGGATCCACGGATCCACAAGTCCCCGGGATGCGTGGAGGGGATAGGGCTGCGGGAAGATGGTGGAGGGCCCAGTACAGCAGCGATCCTGGGGTGTCAGGGTGGGCCCGGGATCCCCAGCGAGGGGCCTCTGGGAAGCTCCATCGTTCCTGGGCCCCAGCCGGTTGTGTCATAAACCTGTCCTTCGCAGAGTTGTTAGGTTCTGAAGAGAGGCTAGAAGGGTCACAATCTGCAGCAGGCAGATTCTGATTATGCACGTGTGCATGCCTGTGTGTGTGTGACCTGTGAGTACACATGAGGGTGTGAGCCTGTGTGAGCAGGCTGGTGTGTGCCTGAGTGTGAGGCATGGTCCCACTCTGCCACGAGGTGGAGCACAGCTCAGACCCTTTCCCACACAGCCGGCTGATCATGAGCGCCCACCGGGACCTGGAGGCCTTCAAGCGCCTCAACTACTACCAGAAAGCAAAGCCGGCAGGGAAGGCCCCTGCAGCCTACACACCAAAGGGGGCTGGGAATCTCCCTCGAGGGGAGCAGTCCTGGAGGGACTCGTAGGTGTGTGTGCTTGTACAAACTCACCGGCCCCAGAAGTGCCTGATGCTCCTGCCAGACAGCTGGAAACAATCCCTCAGCAGACTCCGGAAAGCCTGCCTGGCCCCTGTGTGTCCCCTGTTATTTTGTTACCATCCAAGATGCTCCAGCAAGTCCTGGTGGGCCCCAGAAACCTCCCTTCAGCTGACCTGGAAGTCAACTTCCTATGGGAAACAGAAAAGGCCCTGCCGTCCTCAGCCCTCAGCAGCCTCCCTCGGGGGTCGCGTGGGGGCGGGAACCTGCTCCTCCCGGTGGCAGAGGCCTGGAAGCTGGAGGCAGAGAGGGGGGCTGGGGCCTCAGGAAGCTGTGCCCCCCCCACCCCCGCAGAGCCGCCCAGATGTTTATCTGGGTTTGCAAATTTCAGCTCCTTAGCCGAGGTTATGGAAGGTTCAGAATTTGTTTCTTTCCTGGAGGAGAAAAGGGCTAGCTAGCTTTGTTGGTTGTACCCTTGTTTTTCTCCGGATTTCCATTTTATTTCTTTTGGGAAGCCCATTAATAAATGATTCCCTAGCCAGACCTCAGACCTCCTGACCTGTTGTTTGGGGTTTGAGGCATTTTCAGTTCCTTGATATCTTGCCCACAAACCTCCCTAACCATCTCTTTCTCCTTTGACTTCCACTTTTGTCTTCCCTGGGAAGACAAGTTCGGCTACTGTTGGATCCAGGGGTCCCCCATGCAGTACTGAGTGTGTCGGACTCAGGAGCAGGTGGCTGTGTGCACGAATTCAAGCACACGGAGTATCTTGACTGATTGTCCAACTGGAGTTTGCGAGTCTGTATTTGGTGCTGAGAGGGCTTCGCCTGTCCTCCGTGGGACAAGCTGCTTGGAGGCCTTGGCCCGGAAGGAGGCAACCCTGGGGGAATGTTACTGATGCAGACACAGCTACTGCCTGGAGGGTGCTGAGGGCAGGCATTGCACACACCATCCCTCCAAACCATACCACAGCCCCAGTGATGTCACACTGTCATAAGCAGTCCAGGGTGCTGCTGTCAAACCCATTTTGCAGAAGACGTGCTTCTATTAAATAGGTCACCATGGGATGGACCACACCCAATACTTCGTTTCTCTGCCTGTGGCTCCTGCACCCTAACTCCTACAGCCAAGGCAGGGCCCCCTCCCAAACGCCTTTTTATACCCTGGGATACCCCATTTGCGAGGGAGCAAGGTGGGTCAGCGTCCCCCAACCCTTCTGCCTGCTGGATGTGCAGCTTACTTCCTTGAACCCTCCAGGACGTGCCCAATCGCCCAGTTCCCTGTGTCTCAAACCCCAGCGGCTCTGGCTTATACAATTAGCATTTGCAAGCACCTGGGGGTGGCTGGGGGATCGTGTCCCCTGACTCAATCTGAAACTCTTGGGGCTGCTAAAGAGGCCTCCTCTGTGTCTTCTTTCTCCTCCTTCCCTCTCCTCTTCAAGCCTGGGCAGCAAGCTGTCTTCAAAGGCCGTCTCCCATCCCCGGCTCACCGCAGCCCTCCTCCTGGGTGGCCTCAGGTCCCGGTTCAAGTGGAAGTCCAAATCCTGCCCCCACTCAACCCTGGGAGACCTTGTCGGCTAGGGGTGGAGACCAGGCCCTCAGGCCAGCCCTCAGATTGGGGGAGGGATGTGGACAGGCACTTGTCACCTGCTGCCCCCAGGAGGCTGGGGGAACAAGATGTGGGGGTGCAGGAGGCAGATGGGGTGGGGATGGATGTCCAGCCCCCCCCCACTCCTGCCTAAGCACAGCCAAATCATCTCCGTGGTGCCCCCTACCCATGGCCTCGCCTGGCCCAGCCCCCTCCGGACATACTCCCATTCCTTGCAGCTCCCCACCCCGCCATTGCCCCAGCCCAGAAGTCCTTCCCTTGCTCTGAAGAGCCTGCGTGTGATTCCATGGCCCCCAGTTGCTGGGGCATCAATGGTGACCTAAACGTTCACTAAGAGCCTCCTAGGTGAGGACAGTGATGGGGGGGAACCTCTGTCTCTCCATTGCCCTTCCTCACGTCAGGCCCCCACCTCCAGGGTAGGGGATTCCACCTGACATGTCAATATGCAAGGGGTGGCTGGAAGAGTCTGCAAACACGAAGCGTCACAGAAGCAGCCTCATGACACCAACCCAGCAGCAAGTGCCCTGCTCATAAGTGCCAGGCTGGGGCGACCCCTCAGAACCCCATAGCTAACCTGTAGCGCCCACTCCCATTTCTCAGCACAAAGCAGCTCACCCCAAGGCCCCAGGGTAAACGGCAATCCAAACAGCAGTTGGGGCATGTGGAGGTCAGAGTAACCTGGGGGCAAGGGATGAGCCAGGAGAGGAGGGTCCGCAGCCCCATTGGCACAGTTCACTCACTCTACCTTGTCCCAAGACCGGGACTGCTATGACGCTGATCCATTCATAAACATTTATTGAGAGCTGACTGGGTGCCCAGTGCTGGGGAAGGAGGGCTGGGGTGCCTGAGAACCACCTCCTTCTGTGAGGGGATCGGGGTGCCCTTTGGGCTGTGCTTCCGGAAGGGGCTCCTTTGCCAGGCCCTCAGGCTGGGAGCAGGGCCTAGGGGTGGATCCTGGGAGGGTGAGTCTTCCCTGAAATCCAGCCTCCAGAGAGCCTGGGTCCCCAACCCCAGGTGAAGGCAGCATCCCCGTCCTGCCTGCTCCAGCCTCCTTAGGCAGAAGTGGAGGGACAGCAGGAAGAGGGGCTAGTTCCAGTAGGCTTCCCGGCACCTTTGGAACCTGGATTTTAAAAGCAGAAGGGGAGGAGAAAAACATGTAATAACAGGGATGATTCAATGCTCCGGAAGTACCGACTCAACCTGCAGGGCTGCCATGGCTCTGGCGCCACCTGCAGGCTATTTCTGGAATAGCACCCCCGGTGACATTCCCGGCCCAGGGCAGCCCCAGGTGGGACCCAGGGCCAGATACAAAGCACAGAAACTCCAACTCAGTCCTGCCGTGCTGCCTCCTCCTGGGAGGACGGCCTCAGGCAGCCTTTCTGTGCCAATATCCTGGTGAGGGCTTTCCCCACCCCCCACGCCCGCGGAGGCAAGTTTTCCTGTTCTCTAGGACTTGAGGGGAAAAAAGGAAGACTCTGAGATCATCATCTTTGCGTCCCTTCAGCTTCCCACCTCTCCCAGTTGGACCCCGTCAGACCTCATAGGGAATACTATCTTCTCCTCGAGGCAGTCTCTTCTAGCAGATGTTCACTGCACAGCTGCCGGGATAGGGAGGGGTACTCCCACCCGGTGACTTCCCCAGGGGCTCACAGTCTGATAGGAGAGGCAGTACCCACACCGGGCACCCAAATGGGCGGGGGTACCGCCCGGTCAGACCCGTCTCCTCTGTTGCTGACTTCCTCAAAGGCAATGAAAGGTGCTAAAACGGATTTCTCTTTTAAAACCCTGCAGAAGCTGAGGTCTTTCTCATCTGTAATAATAACTGCTGCCATTTAAGACGGAGCTACTCAAAGCCTGCCAGTCCCTGGCCTTGCAGCATGGCAGTGTCAGGGGGAGCTGGTTAGAAATGCAGATGCTCAAGCCTCACCCAGACCTGCAGAACTGGAACCCACATTTGATGAGCAGGATGGCGGGGGGAGCGCCCTATGTGGTGGGCCGTGCAGTGTAGAGAGAGCCCTTTAGACCTCAGGGAGGCTTCAGCCATATCTCTCTTCTAAACTTCAGCCCCAGCCAGTGGCTGATTTGCACACAGCAAACTCATGGTACTTCCCTCCAAACTGACATTTCCCCAGGCGCTGGGACTCTCCCTCTTCGCTGCCTTGAACACCTCTGCCTGGAGGACCAGCCTCTTCCAACGCCTTCAAATCCGTTCCCACGGTCTAACACATTCACAGTCCAACACATGCAGACCTGGTCTTGTCCCTTCCTTGGCTCCCTAGTACTCAAGTCCAAACCCTTTGAGGTGACCAGCAAGGACTTACACGTCCTTTTGCCATCCCTGAAATCTCTGACACCTTCCCCTCCAACACACATGCACACATACTCTATCCCAGACACACTGAACTTCACTAAGTTCCTAAACGAGCCCCATTGCCTGGGCTCCACTTCAGCGCTCCACCAAACTGAATTAGGCTTCCAGAAATCACTTTCTCCAGGAAGACCTCCTGGACCCCTTCACCTGGATCAGGTGCTTCCTCTAGACTCCCCCATGCCTGTGTTTTAACTCTCACTCTCCCATCTACCACGGCGGGCCAAGCCCAGCCCAGCGCTTGGCACCCGGTAAACCTCAAAAACTATCTGGTGAATGAGTGAACAAGTGAGGCTCAGTTTCTCTTAACTGAGCCATTTCCCGCTGGTCACACAGTTCCCACGAGCCAGGCCGGATTGGAGCCCCTGCTGTACCTATCCCCAGATCCCAGCAGTAGTCCCCACAGCCTCCCTGCTAGATCACACCGCGCATGGAAAAGGATGGTGTTTCCCTTACGGGCCCAGGGAGGGAGAGTGCCTTGCCCAAGGCCACACAGGTGACCCCATCCCCAGCTTACCAGCGTAGGGCAACAGTTCTAGAATACTCCTCTAAGCTGTCTACATGGATTATCACCCCCCAACCCTCTGAAGTGGGTTGTGACCCCAGGGGTTAACCCACTTCACAAAGGCCCCTAGGGGCTCAGCCCACGGCAGACCCCCTCCTCGAGTCCCCCCAGCCACCTGCACAGGCACCTCCTCCTCGGCGGTGTCCGGAGTCCTGCGTCCTCGCCTTGTCCAAGCGGACCAGCTTCCTGCCAGCCGAGTTGCGGGTGGTGTAGCTATAGACGGAGGTGTAGCCCTGGCCGGTGAGCGGGCAGAAGCGGCGGGTGTGGGCATGGTCGCGAGTGGCACCACACTGGGGGCACACGTAGTCTCGAAGGATGGGGCACAGCACCCGGCCAGCTTCGTCCTTGAGCACGTGGGACTGGTAGATGGCCCGGGACTCGCCGTTGTGCTTGCAGAAAGAGCACAGGCGTTCAGGAGCTGGTGAGGATTCCGGGCTGTGTGTCTGACCCTCCTCTGGTCCTGGCGCTGGTTCTGGCTGGGGGTCCAGCCTGATCTCAGGCTCCTCTTCCCCACGCAGAGCCCCCACCAGGCGTGCCAAACCCAGGTAATCTGTCCATAGATTGAAGGTCCCCATGGCTGGACACCGTGTGCCAGGCGGAGGGGCAGAGAGAGAAGAAACCCAGCCGCCCCAAAGCTTGTCTTTCTACACCTTCCTTCTTAACCCTCCCTTCCCCTCTCTGGAGCCGAGCAGTCTGGGCTGTCAGTTCCCTCCTTATACTTCCAAGGGGGTGTGAAGAGGGAGGAGCAGGCTGTAGGAGGTTCCTTATTGTCACAGGGGGGGTTTGCTGCCGCTCCCCCAAAAATGCACCTGCCAAGGGGATGCATGGTCTCTGGGTGAGCTGGAGGCGAGGGGGGGTGACAAGACATAGGCTGCAGGGGGCACCAGTAATATGGAGCCACACACCCCACCCAGAGGGCATTGGGAGGGCGACCCCTCCTTAGAGCCTGCCTGCCTCTCCTGCCCTACAGGGTGATGGGGGTGGGAGGGTTGGAAGCCCCACCCGACAGACTAGCATTGATGTAACCAGTAACTTAGTAACTTCTTTCTTCCTTCTCCTGGGCTGGGGGAGGGGCCGGGTACCCCTGTGCTCTTTGGGAAGGGTTGGGGAGCTACTGATGTTCCAACTGTCTTCGGAAGGAGAATGGGCCTGGCTTATGGGGTGGGGGGATAAGGACCAAGGCTCCCAGCTCTGGTCACCCTCAGGGAGCTTTCACACCCCTTTTCAGTGGATCCCGCATTTAATGGATGAACAAACTGGGGTATGAAACCACCTGCCCCTGGGGTTATTCACAAAGACAAGCACAAAAGCCTGCCTCCCCACGCAGTTAGCAGTTACCACCGGAGCCTTAGGTGTTGGAGAGCCTTAGGACCAGCTCGTCCTGGTCCTGGGGTGGAAAGGGGGTGGAGTAGAGCACAGGCACAAGTTGGGCTAATGGGGGGACCCCTAGCATTCGCCAGTACCTTGATCTTCCCCTCAAATGAGACCTCAGCTCAGTCTCTGGAGGATAAGGTGTGCCCAGGAGTCACCCACGTGGGGCACACAGATGGGCAGGTGGAAGGATCAACTGGCGTCAAGGTGCTAGGTGGGCAACTGAAGGTAAAGCAGGGGTCTGCCGGTACCAGGCAAGGAGGGTGAGAAACCTGGGCCCGGGACTTGAATGCAGAGAAGAGGTGCTATGCTGCCTACCCACCTCATTCATTCATTCATTCAAGAAAACTCTATTGAGCCTTTTGGAAGCGGGGCTCACTAATCCGTTTCACAAAGGTTTCCCAGCTGCCCAGCCCTGAGCCTGTGATTCATGCCCCCAACCCTCCAGGATTTATTCTCCAAATCCAGACTGTGTCTGTAAGGATCCCAGACACCAGCCCTCACCAAGGGGTGAGAGGCTGGGGTCAGGGTCAGGTACTGGCTGAGCAATTTTGGGGGGGAGTCCAGGGTGGGGTTTTTTCCCCATCCCATTCCCCTTAGGCTGTGTCCGGCCCAGACACAGTGACATTCATCCCTCGGTGGGTCTGGCCTCCGTCCTCACAACCCACCGACAACAATGAATGTTGATTGTGACCTTTGCTGTGGCCTAAGGAAGGGGATGTGTTCAGGATCCCCTGGCCCCCCCAGATCTGGAACGTGGGGGTCGTGATGGGTGGACGGCAGTTCCAGGCCTCGGGGTCCACTCAACGGTCGATGGTTTGCCTGAGCTGCCCAAACTCACCGACAGGTTGAATGTTCCCCCAAACCCTTGGCAACTTCTTGGGGAGTAGAGGCTGGGTGGGGGTGAGGGAACTGGAGAGGGTGAGGGGAGAGGGGAGGGAATAAGGAACTTATAGAATCATTAAGTCAGCAAATAGTTATTAGGTGCCAACTCTCTGCTCCGGAACCCGGAAAAAGCAGGAGATAATTATAAATAATAATAACAGTAGATATTTATGTCGCCTTTGCTATGTAAATGTAGCAGTACTGGGCCCTGGGCTCAACTTTCCGTGCATTTACCCAAAGCATCCTCAGAGGTGCATATTACTTCCATTTGTCGGTTTGGGAGACTGAGGCCCGTAGGGCACCGCTAGTGAGAGGCAGAGGAGGGATTCCTAGTGGCCCCAAGATGTCTGGCTGCCAAGTGGTTCTTGCCCCGGAGGCATCGATGCACCAGAGAGATAAAACATTTTAATACAATGTAATACCTTCGGTGAGCTTCATCGTGTTCCGGGCACAATTGTTTCTGAATCACAAGAACCCCCAGGGGTTGTCAGTCTCCACTTTGCAAATTCGGGCCAGCAGTGGGGCCTCTACCAGGCAGGCCCCGCCCGCAGGTCCGCTTGCGGGACTTTTGGACACGGGCGAAGCAAAAGGACCAGAGAGGACCACAGGTTGCCAGCCTGCCTGCAGGGTCTCGGGCATCTGAACTCAGGCCCTTGTGGCGGTCAGCGCCCAAGCGCACAGACACGCGAGGGCTGCCCCGTTAATGCGGGGTGCGAGTTCGCCCACCCTCGGGCCTCGAAATCCCTGCTTCGGCTGATGGCGTCAAGATGCTGCCCGCTCCGCATTTCTTCACCCGCAAACAGGGCCCCCAGTCCTTCCCTCCAGGGGCTGCGCAGAGTTGGGTGCCCGCCCCCTCGGGTGCCCCTATGCGCAGTCTCAGGGGAGACAGCCCCCCCACCTGGGTCTGGGGCCCTCCAAGGACAGTCTGGGAGGGGACTTCAAATTTCCTGTCCCCTCCCACTTCACTGAGGGCAATATCGGGCCCCAAAGGATGAACCCCCTGGCGTAACCCTCACGTGGATTAGGGCCCCCAGGGGTGCTGAGCTTGAGTGAACCCCAAAACGACCCTCCTTGGAGGCGGCCTGAGGCAGCGCAGCCCTTGAAGCCCCACCCCCGAGACCCCACCTAGAGACAGCCTCCAGAGACCCGCCCCTCAGAAGACACAGACTCAGGCCCCTCCCCCAAGACCCACCCCCTCAAAGCCCACCCATAAATTGCACGTCCCTAGGACCCTCCCTCTAAAGCTCGCCCAGATAGACTACCATGTAGCCCGCCCCCAAAACTCAACCTCCATAAAACCCGCCCCCTAAGCCGGTTCTCAAAGGGCCCAGCTCCCTTAAGACCCGCTCCGGGGCCCCGCCCTCAGGGCCCCCCCCACTGCAGACTTCCCATCTAGTTTTGGCTCTGGGAGGGCCCAAGGCTCCAGAACCCCGCCGTCTAGGATCTCTAAAGTCCGCCTGCCTAGACCCCCAGGCACCGCGTCCCTACGGTGTCCCCAAGGCCGTTCCCCGGAGCTCAACCCCGCTAAGGTCCGCCCTGGCACGACCTTCCCCCAAACCGGACCCCCTCGGAGCCCGCCCCCCACAAGACCCGCGCCCCTTGAAATTCCCCCACCTCATGGAGTCCCTTCCCCAGAGCCCGCCCTCTCGCCCACCCTGGGCCGGGGTCCAGTCACGTTCCCACCCCTGTCTGGAGCTCCCGGTGGGGCGCCCTCTCCCACGGCCCATCCACCCGGCCTGCAGGGCCCCATTCAGGCACAGGGTATCCAGGACCTTCTCAGGGAGCATGTGGGGGGTGTCTTGCTTTGAAGATGGTGGCCCTAACAAGCAGAATATGGAGAGAGGAGGGGTAATAATAATAATGCTTTATATACATCACCCTATTATTAGAATACCCATTTTATCGATGAGGAAGATGAGGCTCTGAGAGTTTGGAACAGAACTCTCTGGCAGTTCCTAAAAAGCTTTGTTCTTAACGACCACGAGGCTAGAATGCGGGGTCATCAGGCATGAGGCACTCTGGCCACACTGCGCGGGGTGGGGGGCTCCCCATGACACCGCTGCTCCTTCTATGCCTCCTCACAGGTTTCCCGGAGGGCTCTGACCTTGACCTACCTAGGAGGGAAGTTCCAGTGAAGGTGGGGCTAGGGCAAGAGGGCGGGGCTTCAGGCCAAGGGGAGGGGTGGGAGGCGGGCAGTGCCCAGACTCATCCAATGGGGGAGGGGCTGTCTGGGCACAACCTGGGGTCTGATTGTCTCCCTTCGTCATGGTAAGTGTTGGCTTCCCGCCCTCGGTGTCTGTCTGGGTCCTCCTGCCTGGGTCTGACCGTGTCCCTCACAGGCGGGTATTTGTCTGGGTCCCCAGCCCTGCTGTGTGCGCCGTCTCTGGCTGTCTGGGGTCGCCTGTGTGTGTCTGGCCCTTTACACCTGATCTCCCCTCTTTGTCTGTCCACCTGTAGGACAGACATGTCCGGGGCTGCCCTTTGCTGAAAGGCGGCCTCTGGTCTGTCTGCATCTCACTGTCTGCACCTGGGGCCCTTAAGCAGGGCGCTGACTGTTCCTCCCACCGAGTGTCCTGAGGCCTTCTTGGGGGCTGACTGGGCCTCCAGTCTGACTTTGAAGCCCAGCAGTGTAGGAGGCAGGGAGCTGTCTCCTCCCACCCTCAACCCCGGGCCCTGGAGCAAAGTAGGGGTGCCCTTCAAGGCCTGCTTCTTCCTTATCCTTATTCCTGGGACCCTACACCCCGGCTGGGAGGGTCTGTCTGGGCAGGGGGCTGAGAATGGCTGGGGTGGCGGGCAGCCTGGCAGAAGCCATGCTGACCCTGAGCCTATCCCCACCCCGACCCCCATCCTGAGCTCCGGGAAGGCAGGGCAGCTGGCACAGGGTCTGGGTCAGGGTCGGAGGTGAGAGGTCTCAGTGGAGCCAGATGGGCAAGCAATGGATGGAGGCAGCTCTGCTGTCAAGTTGAACAAGGTGGCGGGGCCGGCGGGGTGGGGGCAGCATGAGGTCAGAGATGCAGGGTTTCCAGGGGGTGTCTAGTGGCTTGTGTGTCCCTGCATGTGTGCCAGTGTGCATCTGTCCTTGTGTCTGCGCCCTTGTGTGTGTGCATAGGACCTGGGGGTGCACACGGGGAGGAGGTGCTCAGGGCCTGGCAGACAAAGAGCCCATTATGGAACATGCAGTAGCAGTGTATGTAGGGGTCCTCCTGTGGGGTCCTGTTGATGGCCCGGGCTGTCTAGACTGGCGGGCAGGGGCCCCTCATTTCCATGATACCTGCATGGCCTCTCAGGTTCCTACCCCGCCCTCCCCGGGCCGTCTGCC